GTAACTTTACAGGACAAAATCAAGTTTAACCGTAAAACACTATAATCTCTCAGGCACTTTTTAAAAGTTCACTTAACTAACGATATTATATATACAAAATCATTCGCGTCCATTGAAGATATTTTCTCATTTTTTAATTTACTTTTATATTTGCAATGTTCCTTTCTTCAGCTTAATTGCACATGAAGATCTATAAACACTGCTGTCTATACAAGTCCAGGTTTATAGTTTGACTGGGTCTTTCTTCATTTATACCTCCAATAGCAAACTTTCTATTGTGTTCTTCAAGGCACGAAACTTGGTCCGTCCTTTACTCTCAACATCCGTTTCTTCTTTCCAAAACCCGGAAATTTTAGCAACTGTATGGGTTATAATTCCAATTGACAATTACTTGACGATGTAGATATCACAGCTTCGTCTTCTTTCTCTCGTAAGTCTTATAAACTCAAATCAGTTTGAGTCGAGGTCGGCACCAAAGACTTTTGTGATTTAATGTAGTCTTTGGATTGGTGAACAAAGCTCATCGTTGTATGTCAAAATCCTTTTGTTTCTCGATCATAGGAGAAAACTTGTTGCTTTTAAAGCGTCACATGCAGCCCAAGCTAAGCATTTAACTAGCAGATTATAGCAATATRTATAATGCATGTAAATACGAAATTTTTGAAAGAAAAAATAAGTAAAAAACATTTGTCTTACCTTATGATGTGGTCTTAGTTATGAGTTTAGGCGTAATTTTCCGTTTTTCTTTGATATCTCCCCTCCTTTACTTATATCACTGAAAAAAAACGCTCGTGTCCCTAAGCTTGCTTCTCTCGTGTTTTTCGAACTCCCACCGTGTTTATATCAGAGGACAGAGACACGCGCGCCGTTTTATATTTCTTAATTATTTCACTTTGTTTATTGCAAATTGCAAATTTGTTCTTTTTTTTGGATTTCACGCGTGCGCCAAGCGTAAGGGTGAGATATCAATTGAACACGAGAAGATAAAATTCGTATCTTCAAGCGCCCATGATGTAATGTTCTGTTTATAATAAGTAAACTCAAGTTTATATATTTAAGGCAAGAAATATGACAAATTAAATTTGTACGGAGTATCCATGGTAACGTGTTATTTTCACATGAAAGATTTTACTTTGGCGCGTTTGAGATTTCGTGGTATTTTATTGAAGTTTATTTAAGAAATATAAAACGGCGCGCGTGTCTCTGTCCTCTGATATAAACACGGTCGTCAGCCAATCAGCAGAGCGCGCGTTATATATCAAAAAATTTATAATTAATAATAGGTATCCCATGCATAAACATATGATGAATGAATGTTATGCCGTTAAAAAGACAAGAAATAACGAGTAAAATGTAAATGAATAGATAGAAGATGACGTTTCATTTTCACAAACACTTGCGTCGAATTGATTTGCGTTCCTCCTACACGACATCGCTTACGTTTTTAGTATCGTCCAATCAGCGTGGAGTATTTTCCCGCATTTTCTTTCCACATCGCGCGAATCGTCAGTTTTGGTTTGATGTCAAGAGAGTTGGGTGTCGCTCAAAGTTTTGTTGGTTTATTGGATATTTTGTGCTCAATTTACACTTAAAATGGTGGAAATATCGTTCCTTACAAATACCTTGACAAGTGGTAAGTGACTTTTGATATACATTCTGCGTCTAAAYTCGTTTTTGAGATAATTTTTSAGTGCAGAACCCGTTTTAACAAAAATCCATTTTTCATCTTTCAGGTCCACTGTCAGGGTAATATGACAAAGACCAGCAATCCAAGGTTTGCTCATACTAAATCGATGTCGGAAAACACGATAAATAGATTCTAGTTATTGACAATCAACCTTTGTAGTTGTTTTTCTCATTCAACTTTACTATTTGCTAGCCTTGAAAAATCATTTCGGTGAAACTGTGAGTTGTTTTGACATGATGAATACCTGTAGATTTTCGTTTTGCGAGCGTTTTTAATAACGAAAACTCCACTAGAAATTCTCCGAAAACATTTTAACATAAGATATTCTCGCCATCATAGAGCAAGAGCGACTGTTAGTTTATTTTTACTCTTTGACAACCAAAGTTGAACTTCAAATTCACAACCGCACGGTTGTCTCATCAAGTTTTCCAATATTTTATTCAAAACAACAGTAAAATATTTCTTGATATATCTATTTCCAAATGAAACACAAGGCAAAAAAGAAAGCACTTTCTGTCATAATTTTACTCAAAATTTGAATTTTCACCCCAAAGCAAAAACAAAACATTTTGAAGTTCATGATCAATATTTTATTGAAGCCTAAAATACCAAACTACAAAA